GGTACAAATTTCCAATGATGAATGTCATTATATTGTATACCTTAAATGTGCCAATAAAATTAATTTTTAAAAAATGACAAAAAACCAAATGTAACAAATATATAATACATAATAAATGGAACTTGAAATAATATGAAGTTATATCAATTAAAATTATCATAATTAACATATTAAACTTTCTTAAAAGTTACAGATTGGTTTTCATAGCAATACCCAACTCTGATACATTTAAATAAATGATTCAAAAAGGGTAACCCTAGGTACAACCAAGTGAATTAGAAATCAGGAATTAAAAGTATAAAACAGGGGCCAGAAATTTAGCTCTGTGGAATCAGCACCTGCCTGGCAAGCACAAGGTCCTCAGTTCAATCCCTGGTGCCAAAAACTATATATAGGAATCAATCTAACCAAGGAAGAGAAAGACCTCTACAATGAAGAAATAAAAAAAAAAAAAAAAAAAAAAGGAAATGGAACAGGGGCTGGTAATTTAGCTCAGTGGCACCACCCCTGCCTCGCAAGTGCAACGTCCAGAGTTTGATCCTTGGTACCAAAAAAAGGAAAACAACAACAAAAAAGTAAATGGAACAAAACTAAACAACTAAAAGAGGGGGGAAAAAAAGGAAAAAAAATTAAAAATGCCATTATCTCATTTCATCATCAAAACAGCCATGTAATGTGAGAACCATTTTTTTTTTGTACCAGGGATCGAACTCAGGTCCTTGCACCTGCACAGCAGGCGATGAAACCACTGAGCTAAATCCCTGGCCCGTGAGAACCATTTTTGTATCCATTTTGTACAATGAGGATACTGCAACTCAGAGACAGTAACCTGCTTAGAAACATAGTTAATTGGTGGCAGCATTAAGTCTCATACCAAGGTCTGACTCCAAAGTCCATGCTCTCACGGCCCTATGTGATCTACACACTGATTTTTGTGTCAGTTTCACACTGGTTTACTATTATAACTTTATGAAGTACTTTAATATGACAGGTTAAGCCTAGCAATTTAACATGCAACTTGAAACTTTCTTCCTCTTGATTTTTCTTTCAGATGAATTTTAATTGCTATGAGGTGCTCAAAACAAAATAAAACAAAACCCCAGCTTTTGATAAAAAATGTTTTACCCATACAAAACTAACATCTTTCTAATGTCACTTCTTCATTTTCAGGCACACTGGGTCTGTTTTCAATTAGTTCTAGTTTTAGTGGTTCTTTTATCATTTCATCTTTTACTAATTCTCATTGGGACAAGGTAGGATCAGGGAATGCTAAAAGCATTCTATTTTTGTTAAGATGATATGAAGCTGGATGTCATTTGAAAAAATGATATAAATACTCAAAGCAATCTGGATCATCTCCAAATCAATTAAGTTTTCTCTTATTACTTTTAATTATTCTTGTGATTGCCCAGTGGAGTTAATTCATATATAAGGACAGAGAATATTCTCATGTTATTAGTCACAAGGGGAGACATCTGCTGAATTGAGGAAGCAGTGTTCCCACAAAAAACATGGGCATCTGCCTAGAAGCTTATTAAACATACACTAAATATATATTATGAGGCAGATTCTGGAACAGAAAGTGGTATCTTTTCTCCTTCTAAATAATAAAAGAGCAAAAGGCAGTCAACCCAACAGCCCTAATTCCAAAGGCAGTACATACCCTCCCATCTGGATTCTTATCAGGGTGGTATTTTTGTGCAAGTCTGAAGTAAGCCTTTCTAATCTTGCTCTCATCATGCCTGTTAAGTAGAAAAATTGTTTTATGAGTACAATAAGATGTATGAAAACATTGTTTTAAAATTCTTATTTATGAGGAATTGTGTGTAATCATATATTAGGTATCAAATTAAACCCCCTAAAACTTAACATTATTTATGTTATATTTACAAATGAATTATCCACAAATGTTTTCTATGCAAGGTTATCATTCCTTTTAAATTACAAAACTATATTTGGGATTTAAAGAACTAAGAAATATTTTTAAAAACTAATTTGCCAAAATGTCCAAAATACCAATTCAAATTCTCCAATTCTAAGTTACTATACCAGTGTTCCAAAAAAATGTACCAAAAAGTTTTAGTCTGTATTTGAGAAAATTCCTTTTAAACCATTTTTCTCTAATATAACTAGTCTATTCTAAAACTTCACTGATAGATTACTACAGTAAATATGGATTCTTTCCAAACATATTTAGTATTCTAGACATACTCTTCTTCATGCATAACACAAGTTCCAAGAGCAAGGAGAGAAACGATTAATAGAGTAACATGTGACATAACAGTACCAGGCACTCTGCATACAATGTGTCAATAATAAAGAACAGGGCCGGGGATTTAGCTCAGTGGTTTCGCCACCTGCTGTGCAAGTGGAAGGATCTGAGTTTGATCCCTGGCACCAAAAAAAAAAAAAAATAAAAAAAAAATAAAGAACAATTCTACCAGCAAGAATAGAAGAATGCAATTTGGTTAATAAATCTGCAATACATAAAAGGCATATAAATATAATCTTACATGTTATTCCTACAGACATGTGAATCAAAGAATAGGCAAAAACATTAAAAACAGTTGGTTTAAATATAATTTGTTGTTTGATATTAATATTTTAAGGCAAGGGAGACATTTGCTATTCTAACCCTGAAAGTAACTCACGGTCCTTGTCCTTGAGGCAGACTAAGCACTTCATAAGCATCATCTATTGACATGGTAGGTGGCTTCTTTTCTACTTCTTTCTTCCAGGCATCAAGAGTATCTTTAAGAAGCTTAACCTTAAAGAAAGAGAATTAAAATTTATAGTTAATAAGGTAAACTATTTCAGAATATAATTTTCAAGTTATAAAATACTTGTGCTGTATTTATTTATTTATTACCAAAAAAAAGAAAGCAAGCAGGATACCATGGTATACTTCGCAAAACAATTTAACAATAACTGATAGGCTGGCACTCAAATAATGTAATGGATAGCAAACTCAATGAAGCTGAGCAGTGAATGAGAAGACATCTATTATTTATTTCATGCCTATATGCCAAGGAGCTCATTACTTTACAGACTAGCAAATTTAATTCTCATGTAAAATTTCAAGTACACACCAAGATTGAGATAGCTACATGTTTCCCAATCAATAAATGGGGTGCTGGATTGAAACCTAGATCTGATTAAAACACCGTATGTTTTCTACTGTATCTCACGTTAATCCTGAGAAAGTACCAAAGGCTACTTGTTGTAATTTGGTCACAGTATTGTAAACAGGCAGTGACTTATGGTTCACTGACACTGTAAAATCTTTTGGTAATGATAATGATATAACCTCTGCTACAGGAACAGAACAACATGGGCACCTAGGCCTACTTTATTCCAGGCTCCTATATGTATCCATAGGCTCAGACAAGAGGGGTTCCAAGGATACCCTGGACAAGCAGACAGCAAATAGTGTTATACACACAAGCACTTAATGCCTTTCATATATGCTAGGAATACTCACAACCAGAGCCGGTTGCCTCTATTACTATTACAGCACTTTAGAGATGAGAACTGAGGCTTGGAGAACTCAGACAACGCAGTGAATGTTAAACAGTTATTAACGGCCAACCAGAAGCTCTATCTCTGACTGCCTCCTTCTAATAATGTCCATCAGCTTAACCAATCTGCTATAAAAACAAGCCTGTTACAATACAGAACTGTTGTATGTATGAAATTAAATGTTTCAGCTCTGGCACAAAATATCAAGATTGTAAACTTCTCAATACTCCCTCAAAAAATTCTCAGAGATTTACCCAAATATATTACATTTCACTCACAGTTATACTGTGCTTATGTAGAGAGAATACTTATGGAAGCACCATTCTTTTTATCACTGGAGGAAAACAGAGCCCTAGAGGCTGTTTTTATAATTTAAGAAGGCACAAAGTAGATTAACTTACCGGGTCTTTAATTGGCCAATCTGGAAACCGAAGTGTATCACAAAGTTGTTTGAGGTAATAAATATTACAAAATAGTTCATTTTCTAACTGTGGATAGTTAATAACTGGGATGGGACAATATTGATAAAGTGCTCTTGTATTACTCTGAAGACGAGGTGTGAAATCAGCAAGATGAGCAGCAATCTTCTCTATCATGAGGCGCCTACAAGTATAGAAACCATTCAAGCATTCCGTAGGAACTATTTTACTTTAAAGAGAAGGTTAAAATAGGTAATCATGCAAGATAACTACATAGATCTTCTTTAGGATAACTCAATTATTGGCTTCAGATGAGAGCTTCAAAGCATGCTACCCGAGGTAATATCTTACTGTGTAAAAATACTGAAAGGAAATAAACTTATTTATATTTGTAAAGAAGATCTGAGAAAAAAAATGACTGACATGTTCAGTCCTTTCTATGGAAAAAAAAAAAATCATCCATTAAAGGTCAACTGACAGCCAGGGAACTCAAGCTTGCTATTACTCCGAAAAAGCTCACTGCGTGGTAAAAAGTGGTACTAGGCCTATGCTTATAAAAAGCTCTATTAAGGCAATTTTGTCAAATCATGTCGAATAGAAAAAAGCTCAAGGCTTTCTCAAAGCCCATCACTTGATTTAGAAACAACTACTGTCACTTTAGATTATGATACTAATGAAAACATTTCTATTCAACAGAAGCCAAACCAGATGGCAAGCACAAAGATTCTAGTATAAAATACATTTAACTGGTCATTTACCTCATTTCACTGCTCCAGATTGCTTCTGGAGTATCAAATTCTCCTAGAAAAATCTCAGAAAACTTCTCAGGGTCATAATTTTCTAAGTAACAAACCATTGCTTCAGGTAAGATGTGCCCAAGTATACTTCTCTGAAAAATATCTTGTCCTTTTGTCTTTAAAAAAAAAAAATTTAATCAGAAACACTAAAATTATCTTTCACTTTTCTGATAAAAGAATTACGATTAGAGAATATTTTACAAAAGGAGCACAAATAGAACAAACTGCTTCTATGCTTTAGGAAGTTAGATGGAAACACAGTAAAACGTAAACTTCAAAGATGTCAGGTACAAACTGGCCTGAACTCCAAGGCAGAAACAAAAGTCTCTAGCTTTGAAGCAGTGTTAACCTTCTTACATGTTAGGTGCTGTTGCCAAAGCTATTTGGGACAACTAGCCTTTAACCATTTGCAACCACAATGAACAACAGAATGTTGTCCTGTGAAGATTTATATCAGTTTTGTTATATTATATTATTGGCTACAGTTCCAACCTTCATCTGCTTCTCTTTTCAAAAACAAGTCCAGAAGATCTAAAGACCTTAAATGTTCTCATGAATTATGATTAGGATTTAGATGGTGAATTTCTGCTCAGAGTAATTATAATTAACTATAGTGATTCATCCATATCCTTTGGACAAATGCGTCAGACTAATGATCATAATTTAGGATAGTCAATTTTTAAACTCATTTCTTTACCTAATGGGAATAAAATACAAATGACTGTAAATGCTTATTTTCTTCTAGGCAAACTTAAGATGTGTTAACTTCTCTAAGATAAGAAAGAGACAGGAAAAAACACACCTAAACTACATTAAGGTAATATGATTGGAGACAACATTTTAAAACTTTTTTATATTTTCATTTTCTACATGTATAAATCTGTGGAAATTATGCCATTGTGGGCACCACTATTAGACAAAATGATTACTTTTAAGGGCTCTGATAGCTTCTCTACACAACTTACAGTTTGGCCTAGTTTCTATTCTCAAAGCAGTACATATAACAGTCCTTGATTAGTTTCCTAAACTGTGATCTGGTTTTGGTTTATTTTCTGCTTTTGGTAAAATCCAAAAGAAAAAAAATCAATACTCCATGAAAAGCCTAACAAATATTGAAATACCCTTCAGTTATGTTTTAACAAAAATCTCTTTTCAACATGTAATGTTTTAAGCTGTGAAGCTACCTGAATAGAGTCTTGTCTGTTTTCAGATGCTTAGTTTTCTTCCTCAGTAAAATAACAAGAATACGAGAGCATGTAAAAAACTGAGTAAGTTCAAAAAAGAAACCTTTTTCCACCTTGGGATCTGCACATAAATGCTGAAGTGTTACTGAATGTTAGCCAACTACACAAGACTAAGGTACATTAATAAAACATTTGTAAAAATCACTAATTTAAATCTCATTCAAAGACATATTCACTGAGGTTATCAGGGCATAATTCATAATTGGACATTTATTTTCAATTTAAAAATACAGGTTAAGCTTTCTATATGTAAAGTACTACAAAGAATGTTAAACAAACAAACAACACCTGCCCTCTCAAGCCCTATAACCTAAGTCAATACATACAGCTCAAGGAACTGTACAGTGCCAAAACAGCTGAGTGTCAAATATTCAGAGGATTAATCTGGCTTACCTCCTCTGACTTAAAAGCCTGTTTGGTATGTGTGTATTTCAAAAACCTAGAAAGAAAAATAAATTACCTGTCAGATACAGGAACTGATCTGGGTTTAGTGACCTAAGTTTTTAAAGACTAAATAAAAAAGGCAACTCATAAATCATTCTTCGATTAATTTTTGACTAAGACAATAACTTAAGTGTTCTAGAAAGATTTAAAAAATATGTAATAAGCTATGTAACAATATGAAAAATTACACAATTTTTAAAAAACAATGTAAAACTGCATGTTAATAGTTAGATGATAAAATTTTTAAGATGTGGTAGAATCTTATAATTTTGAGTAATTTTCTCCCCACTCTTCTGTCCAATATTTCAGATATGTATTTAAATAGTTTTTTAAATGAAAACTTAAAATCAATGATATATTCACAAAAATTCAATTTAATAAATCTGCCCATGTGTAATTCAAATAAATATTTTAGATTGATTGTCCTTAAAGTTATTACCGAGCAACAGGAAGCACATTGGAACCTGTGTACATCATGATAAAGAAAAACGCTCCACTCAGATACAGACGAGGTAACTGCGGGTTATCTTGCATGATATGATATAACAAAATAGCAACTTTCTCAACAAGGATAGGGTCAAAGGTCAGCAGGAGCTATAAAAGGGAGTAAAATGTTGTGGTTATTAAAAGTTTGCAAAATCATTCATTTTAGGTTTACATATTTTATATGCTGAGATTACCTCTTTAAATAAATTACAAAAATCTGTGGGATTCTGTATGTTTATCAATTCAAGAGATCTGAAAAATGATTCATTCTATAATATTTAATAGAGACAAAATATAAATTGAGAATTTGTAAAAACATACTTAGAAAAAAGTCAAAATATACTTGATGCTAGTTTTGTCAAGATGTTGCAGGTAAAACTACTACTTGAAAATCTTCCTAAATGGGCTTTTCTATTACCAACAAAACAAAAACCCAGCCACCTACTGAATTAATTTCAGTACATCTGTGTTGACATGAGAAATGACCTGAACACAAAAAGCGAAGTGAAAATCAAGTATCAGTGGAATGGCATTAAAAAGTAGATCTACACATGCAACTTAAAGGCAAGAGGTAACATCAAGAATCAACAAATACAATTACATCAAATTTAAAAGATTCTTCAGAGCAAAGGAAACAACCAACAGAGTGAAGAGACAATCTACAGAATGGGAAAAAAATTTTGCCAGGTATACCTCAAAGGTCTAATATCTAGAATATATAAGAAATCAAAAAAATGAGACCTCCTCCAAAATAAAATACCCAATCAAAAAATGGGAAACTGAAATGAACAGATACTTCTTAGAAGAAGCAATACAAATAGTTAATACATACATGAAAAAGTGTTTAACTTCTCTGGCCAATAGAAAAATGCAAAATAAAACAACACTGAGCAGTGGTTCTGCCACCTGCTTTGTAAGCGCAAGGTCCCAAGTTCGATCCCCAGTACCATAAACAAAAACAAACAAACAAACAAAAACACTGAGATTCCATCTTACTCAGAAAGAATAGCTATTATTAAGAAATCAGCCGGGGATTTAGCTCAGTGGTTTCACCGCCTGCTGCACAAGCGCAAGGACCCGAGTTCAATCCCTGGTACCAAAAAAAAAAAACAAGAAAGAAATCAAATAAATGCTGGTGAGACTGTGGGGAAAAAAGGAACCCTTCTATATCATTGGTGGGAATGTAAAGGAGAACAACCACTATGAAAATTAGTACGGAGATTCCTCAAAAAACCAACAACAGGCATTTAATTCAACCCATCTGTTATCCTCATAGTTATCTTTCCAAAAGTTAAAGACATCATATTATAGTGATATATGCATATCTACATTTATAGCAGCACAACTCATAATAGCTAAATCTTGGAAGCACCCTACATGTCCACCAAGAGATGAATGGATAAAGAAAATACGATATTTATACACAATGGAGTACTACTCTGCTATAAAGTATAAATTTCAATCAGTTATAGGAAAATGCATGCACCTTGAGATCAGAATGTCTGAAGTGAAATAAATCAGCCACACATGCTTATTCTCAAATTAGAAGGGGACCAAGAGATGGAGGGAGGGGAGAGAGAAGGGACAGGAAGGAGACAGGAAGAATTAATACTCCCAACAACAAATGGAACCATTATGTACTGCAAACATGTACTAATTAAAAAATTTTTTTAAAGGTCAAGAGACTCAACTAGTACCAGAAGCACCAGTCAGTATGTTTTACTATCACTACCAAAACGTGTGGCCTCTAGAAATATGAGACTGAAATACTGAAGGGAAAATTGTCACGGATCTGGGCCAATAATCACATAGAACTGCTATGAAAGAACACTGGACAAATGTATGAAGTTTTATGTATCAAATTTAGTAAGTGTGGTATTTCAATTTTCTTTAAACATTTATTTCCAAAGAATCCCTAATGTTTGGTCAAATGCTATCAGTAAAATTAATGGCAATACTACTACTAATAATGATAATGAAAACATCTAAGGACTTGCTCATAATTAGAGGGTCAAAGTTCTGGACTCATGTAAGTATGAAGAACTATATAGCTTTTTTTTTTTTTTAGAACTATATAGCTTTTGAAGAAGTTAAGCTGTCACTATTTGCTGACGATATGATACTTCTCATAGAAGACCCAAAAATCTCCACCAAAAGACTTCCAGACTTAATTCACAGATTCTGCAGAGTAGCTGGATACAAGGTCAACACTCAAGAAACAATAGCCTTCTTGTATACAAATAACAGACTCTCTGAGAGAGGAATTTGGGGAACAATTCCTTTTACAACAGCATCTAAATGAAATATCTAGGAATCAATCTAACAAAGGAAGCAAAAGACCTCTACACTGAAAACTACAGCACTCTGAGAAAAGAGATCTAAGAGGATATAAGAAAATGGAAAGACATCCTTTGTTCCTGGGTAGGAAGAACCAATATAGTGAAAATGGCCATACTTCCAAAACTACTATAT